CATGCTCTGTTCCTACTCCAGTCCTCTGAAGATGCTGGCCACAGAGACTGTTGAAACGTTAGGAAGAACAACCTTCAGAACACGGCCAAAGAGCCTGAAAAACCCACAACAACCATTAGATCCTGGCCATGAAAACCTTCACGGATATCTCTTTGGACCCTTCTCATGGACGGAAAAAATGTCAATCATTGTGAACATTCCAGGAGCATCACGGGAGGATCAAAAAGCAAACAAGCAAGCAAAGAGCTAGTAGGATGGCCTACAATTAAACATACAGAAAACACAGCACAGTAGATCAATGCACCTCTTCACTCACCTGAGAACACAGTGACTACTATTAAAATGGCATTAAGTAGGATGCTTACACCTAAGATGTAGTAGAGATGCTGTGATCCTGTAAAGGGAAACAAATTATTAACCTATCAGAGTTCAGTATAGTTCTAGACAACTCTTACAGGAGTCCACAGAAGGCAAAAAAATGTGTCAAATTCACTTGTTGACAAGACTCTCTCAAGTTCTCTATGCCTACCGTTACCAATTTTCTACTAACCCTATTTATTCTTCAGTGGCTCATTTCATATAACATTTTGTTTCCAGCACTAGAGACTCTGAGAAATCCAGAAGTGAGTCATGAAGGCAAGAGTGCCTCCTTCACCCATGATTTGTTCTCAGGATCTGGTGTTTGGAGAACATGGTGTATTCATGATTACTTAGATCAGTTTCAATTACAGCTGCAAACTACTCATTTGTGGTCGGTCACCTTCTACATGGTAACTATAAAATATCAGTAACTATCAAATAAAGTTAAAATTGCATGCCTTGGTCTGTTCAGGTTGTTTGAAGCCTCTTCTCGGCATAATCCCTTTCTCTTTCAGGACTATATATGCTGACACAAAAATACACTTGAGTTCTGACAATGTGTTGCTTATAATGTTACTGATACTCGGCTATACTCAGTAACATAGAGTGGAGGGGCAGCCCCCCAAAACTTGGGTGAAGGGCACCCCTCTCCTGGTCCTTGAGCAGCCTCTGTTCAGGTAATAGTATTTACCTGTACAGAAATAAATGGTTTAGGATCAGAAGATCTGAAGGATTAACTGCCCATCAGTAGTGGTTTTCATTAGGCACCCTTCTCTGCATTCAGTTGCCATGGGAAGGACATTTGATGATGATATGAGGCAGGGCTTTATCAGTGGTAGCCTTCAGATTGTGAGATTCTCTCCTAAGGAAAGTTCAATCGCCCTCTCACACTTTTCACAGATTATATATGTAAACAAAGTAACTATGGTTAAAGGACAGAAGGCTCAAAGGTTTAGCCATCCTTCCCAAGTCTCACCAATCCTTCCATCACCAACACCAAGTTCATGTTCAACATAACTTCAGTGGGAACCTCCTTTACTCTAGGGCAGTGAAGGCAACCCTTTTTCGGCTCCAGTGCCCAAAATAAGGGTGTGGGGAAGAAACCAGTGGCTGCTGTGCTGTCCGGAAGACCAGAACCGGAACAGGAAGTGGCAGTTTCAGGGGGAATCATGGGGACAGACAGGAAGTTAAAGGGGGAATCGTGGGGATGGACAGGAAGTTAAAGGGGGAATCATGGGGATGGACAGGAAGTTAAGGGACCCAGAACAGGAAGAGAAAGGGAGAATCCCAGCTGCAGCCACTTCAAAATGTTAGTTTCCACAAGGGTGGGTGGCTTACTCGCGTGCCAGAAGAAAGGGCTTCACGTGCCAGATGTGGCATGCGTGCCATAGGTTCGCCATCACTGCTAGGGGCTCCTTGCATAATTAAAAACATCCTAAAAGCCTCTAAGTCATGCACAAGGCTTACAGTGTGCAGACATGCCCTCTCCATCCAGTTCAGAACAACATGGAATTTACGGTAGATGAGTGTTGTGAAGAGGGGGCTGAATGTGCAATTCCACTGCACCCCTTAAGCCTAAACATGGGTATAATGAATGAATACAGCCTTTTCATGATGTGGAAGACTTTTTTTTCAGCTTTAACTATTTTTATTTGTCCTACTGGACAGGTAAAAAAAAACCTTGAATATCAATGAATTGGGTTTCTGACTTCAGAGCCAAAGGTGGGGAGTTCAGCCCCCCACTGTTGCAGCTGAGAACAGCCAGCCTGTGTAGCCTTGGGTAAGCTGCACCGTTATGGGATGCCTCCAGAAGAAGGAAATGGTAAGGCACTGCTTACTATCTACCTAGAAACCCTGTAAAGGGTCACCATAACATGATAGCACTTTTCAAATACTTGAAAGGTAATCATACAGAAGAGAGGCAGGATCTGTTCTCAATCATCTCAGAGTGCAGGGCATGTAAAAATGGGCTCAAACTACAGGAAACCAGATTTAAGCTGAATATCTGAAAAAAAACTTCTTAACTGTTAGAGCACTATGACAATGGAACCAATTACCTTGGAAGGTTATCAGTGCTCCAATGCTAGAGGCATTCAAGAGAAAATTGGACAATCATCTGTCAGATCATCTGCTTTAATTTGGATTTCTGCATTGAACATAGAGTTGGCCCCTTCCAACATGATTCTATGTCAGAACTGACATGATCACACACACTTCTTATTATTAGATAAGATATATGAGTCTTTTTCTGAACTGGACTAACAAGCAAATTCATTCATTTGCTTCATTAAAATGTGAAAGATGTCTGTCACAGCCCATAATTTTTCTGTCTTATGCCTATTGCATTTTATGTGCCCCAGACTTAGGTTGATAGAACTGATCTTAAAGAGGAGCAAGGTTCTGCCTACATTAAATACAGCTTACCATGTGGACAACACTTTGGACTTTGTCTCATTCCATTTCCTTCGATGATCTTTTCCATGCTTCCATTAACATCTTCATTACTTTCCTCAATTTCTTCGACATTTCCACTATCCCTCCCGTTATATTCAGCTTGTGGATTCACAGGAAGATATTCCTCTTCGCCTCCAAAGGGGCCCATCTTTTCTTCCTCAGCCTGAAAGAGACATACCTCAGCCATTCAATGAATGCTAGTCAGGCACCTTCTTTACTCTGGCGGCACCTTACACAATTGAAAATTTTGTGAAAGCATCATAATGAAGTGTCCTGTCCTGTCCAGCTATACAGAATTCTGGGCTTCAGAGAAAATTATGATTTGGACAATTGTTGTGATCATCAGGACATAAATAACTTTTTAAATGCCATTGAAGGTGTGACTACACAGAGGGGAAAAATACTAATGGATCAGCTAAAATGGCACTCAAGAAATTGGGTTTCCCTAGGGGAATTCACTGTACCTGACCACACAGGAACTGGCAGCGAGAAGGGAGGAATTGGGCAACCAGCCTTGTTTGCAGCTTGTTAAGGTAGGTCTGGTGTGGCTGTTCAGATTTGCAGGAGTTACAGTTACAGCAGAGCTATCTTAACAAGCTGCAAACAAGGCTTTGGTAGCTTAATCCCCTCTCTCCACTGATTCCTCACTTGTCCTTTTTCCCCTTGGTTGACTCACTGAAAATTCCACCCAGCTTTTCTGGAATACATAGTTTTTGGCAGACAGCACGCAATATATCAGTTGAATTATAAGCAATATACCAGCAGAGTTTGGTAGAAAGCTCAGCATACCATTTCATACATATGTGTTTCTTAAAATAAATTATTCTACATCTTTTTCTTCGGTATTACATGCAAAGCTTGTCTCTCAAATAGAAGGCAAATCTATGCAAACTGGGTTATCTGACTTGATTTACCTGATCCAGTAGCTAAAACCACTTCTAGTCTTGACAGAACTCTTCTAATGAAGAAGTTGTGGCTAAAGGTTTGAGGAATATTCACTAAATTCACCCTCATGGATTTAAGTTGTTTTGATACATTTATTTGTGGAGGAGACAGGGCGGGGAAGTGGGGCACTACCTCTGAAGGGGCTCCCACTGGAGAAGGTAAGTTGGGAATTGATGAACACCTCTTCATCCAAAGGATGAATTGGTATGTACCTGTGCAGATCTCTAGCCACTAACGTATGAAGTATTCTAGCAGTTCATGCTAAAATAATTGTGTCAGTATTAAGAGGTCCCTCGAATCTTTGTTTCTTCTCTTCTGCCCTTTTTTCTTTTTGTTACAGATTTTTAAAGAGTGCTGATTTATCAAAAGGTTTTATCTGCATGAATTCCTGTCCAAGTACCAACATGCCAGAGTTCTAGTCGCAAGCTTCCCAGAAGCACTGGGCTGGCTAATGCTGGAAATGGACCATTGAGAGAGTGTGACCACATGGGGAAATACATCACATTTTGGACTGCTTGTAGAGCAATCCAGTACAGCCTATTTCCTGACATACCATGCACAGGGAAAGGTGCTCCAGCCAAACCCTCATTTGTGCCCAAGCTGGGCTCTTTTGACCCAGCTGTAGGGTTTCTGCTTTTGGGAGCTGGGCTGGAGGAACTCCCTAGCAGATGGGAGGACCACTTTGAAGGAGGGGGACGTGGTGGCGCTGTGGGCTAAACCGCAGAAGCCTGTGCTGCAGGGTCAGAAGACCAAGCAGTCTTAAGATCGAATCCACGCGACGGAGTGAGCGCCCGTTGCTTGTCCCAGCTCCCGCCAACCTAGCGGTTCGAAAGCATGCAAATG